ATGTTTTTCTTTCTAAAGGCAGTCGTGAGTGGTTCAGACCCAGTGCGTCACGCTTCTGTGATATTTTACGTGATTAGTTGACTTCTAAAATTAAAAATAATCCCAATATCTGACCTGCACTATGATCACTGTTAGCAGGACGTGGTAGTTGGTTTGGAAGTTTCGCTTTAATCACCTTGAAATTAAAAAAACACAGAGTTCTGAACAGCGTGAGCTTGTCATCAGCCTAAACTAAAGCCACGGTTCAAACACTGCACCTCAATCTGAATCTGTAGTCTTCTAATAATAATACTGTAGGACACTTTTGTACTCAGATGCATGTGTGACCTGTATCCTCTGCCGTTTTAATGATGCGACCGAACAAGAATCACACAAAGACTCAACCCAAATAAACAAATCAGGCCAAGTACATATTCTGGTTACATCTTTAATTTTCTGGTATTTTTGGCTGAAAGCTTAATTCTGCAGTGTTACTCAAGTGTACTTCCACACCGATTGATACCAAAACCTGACTTGTGTGTATCACAGTAAAGGATTTACATGTTTTGTGACTTACAGTGTGGACCTGAATATTTCTCATCAATTAACATTTTTAGTGTCAGTAGTCATGAAGACGCCCCGAAAATAAGTAACTAATAAAACACTCTCTCACTAGGGTGCATGCAACAGCAACAATATGGAACACAGGAGTCAATGTTAACTTAAAAGTGCTTGAAATGAACCTGAATATTTATACGTATGAGAACAGCTAAGGCAGTTTGGCAGTCTTAGTGCACAGCAACATGTATTAATGTCTGTAGAGGAGGGGGGGTTCATGATTTGGGGTTGGTATAAAAAAAAAATTCCACAAAGTTCCTATTCATGATGACCAAACCTGACGAGAACATGACAAAATCACAATTCTGATTCCGAGGAGAAAAAGGAGGTTTATGCCCACAAAAATTTTAGATTTTCAAATTAAAACGTGTTTTCTTTACAAAAGATCTGTATAAATAACGGGTGCAGGGTTTAAAAAAAAAAACATTTAGAAAGTTGGGCTGAAAACAATTTCTTTGAAGACAAAATGAGGCTGATTTATGAAAAGAAAGTATTGCATGCCATTGAAGCCCCCATATGTGTACACATACTGCTCACAGCTGAGCTCCTGTGAGGCTTTGTAGGTAAACACTGAGCTCCTTGTGACAAATCAAAATGACCTTTTTCTGACATCTTCTTTTTTTTTTCTTTAAAGAACAACAGTCACTTAAACCTGCAGCTCCTGAAGCTAAATGACAAAAGCAATAAATACCTATGCAAGCAGAAGTGCAGGGAGCTGGAAGCTCTACGGTGGGATTCAGCTCGTTTTTTTTCCTTTTTTTTTTGGCAAGTACAACCTTTTAAGATAAGCATATTATTCAGGAAATAGTGGTCATGTTTAGTAAATTTTTTACTCTACAGTGCCTCCTATTGTGATAGTGCTGGAGGTCAAATTGTCTGATTCATCTGTTTTAATCACAAATAAAGGTCCTTCATCGTTTCACAGTACACACACTCTCAGATTTGTCCAAAGACTACAGTGTTATTTTTAAGTCACTGAACTCAACATTTCCAGCGGAAAATACTGAGCCGAGATGCTCACGCCACATTCACTCTATTAACTACTAAATAAATACACCTAGAACTTCAGCAAGGACACCAAAAACATCCCAAAAAAAATCAATAGAGGTTAACTACAAAACCTAAACAGATAAAACATGTATGTGTGAACATACAACTGCCTTCATGACCCCGAAGGGAGACCCCATATGTCATGCCATTTCTATAAGAAAGTTTAAAGGCTCAAAGACATCATACGCACTGCCACAGTGAGTTTGCACTTGATGCTGCTGCCGCCACAGCCGGGGTCGGCAGCCGACATGCAACTCTTGTTTTCTACCATCGAAGAGGAGAGAAGGCACATTGTTTCCAGTGGCATAATCTCCCACTGACTGCGCTGTACCTAAAGAGATTTCTTTACAAAGTGGCCGGATTGGATAAATTACACACTTCACTAAAATGCATTATTGTAAAGTCTGTAAAGAAACGTGTTCTCCTCCGTGTCCTCATTTGCCCCTCTGACGCCCAACCAATCGATGCAGTTTCTCACAGTTGTCCAGCCTCATCGACTCTGCCTTCTGCTTTAAGCGTTCGTCCCGGTAAAGTTGTCCGAGGTTTGCCAAGTCCGACTCTGAAAAGGAACGCGGGATGACAAAAGTAAGATGTATCGCCGCTATATTTAAGAGCTTTTTTTTTTTTTTTTTGCACTTAAAGGCAAAGTGAGACGTTTTGGGAAACGCACTCGACGCTTTATAGCACAGAGTTATAGGAAAAGATCAATACTTCTCCCATATCTGCACAATAAATACGAAGCTACGGTCAGCAGTCTGTTAGCTTAACACACACCCTCCATGAACAGTGATTTTGAAGCCGAGTGGTTCTGGTTATTGACATTGTAACAGTGCCTTACTCTGTTTTCTCTGGCTAATATGAAAATTAGCAAAGAAGTGTGGCATGAGTGGATCTGAGCCAGGCCAATGCAAACCTCTCAGGGTAAAGGACCGTCTATGAGGGCACCACCTTAGACTAATGAACAGATTACCCTCCCTCTACCTCTGACTGACTCTATGAGGAGGACAGTATTCTATAGGTCAGTTGTGTCTTCCACATGAGGTTCAGGTAATTAATAGAAAGGCTGGTTTTAAGAACAGACTAAAAATGTATTTGTTACTGACACCTCAACATTCCTGCTCATCCTTATTGAGTGAGATTGGGTCATGTGATACACGACTCGAATTGTTTTTCTTTATTTTTTAGAAAATAAGTATTTTCTATGTATTTTTATGTATATATATTTCTATGTATTATCTTTTATGTATGATTCTATATCATATTATTCTATGTATTGTCTTTATATACTTCTATGTATTAATTTTAATGTATTTTTCAATGTATTTCTATTATTATTTCAACTATTCCTGTTGTGTGTTTTGTTCTATTTTTACTGTAATGCTTGTTTTTGATATCTTATTGTCTGAACCCCAGGAAGACGAGCTGACGTCTTGGCATCAGCTAATGGGGATCCTTGTCTCTCAAAGTGTTCACACTCTTTAAGCTCTAATACAATTTTAACAGGTAGGTTCTATTAAAAAAACACCTTCTTTACAGTTTTCATAAGCAGGAAGACCAGAACCAATCCTCATAAGGGGCCATAAACATGTTTATTTCCACAGTAAAGTTGGACATTTGGGGGTTTGTAGTCAGCCTCAAGTGAATATGAAAGGAACAGCAGAGGTCACTAGAGCACAACACATTGTGCTTTGTTTGGTTAATCTGGCAAACTTCTGCCAGAAGGTAAATAAATGTATTTCCCAAAGTGCGTCACTGTTCCTTTAACAATGAGCAGCTGAATGTAATGTGAATTAGAGGGTGTGTTTACGTCACAGGACACAATATAAGCACTCCACATAAGTCAAGATTTAAACTTAAAACCGACTCCTGATCTAAACGAGTGCTTACTTTGCTGTTTCTCTTTCCAGCAGCTGCTCTGCAGGTGTTCGATGTAGTCGCTCTCGATAGTTTTCTCCAGTTCGTCCAGCGCAGCTCCGCGGTATTCCTTCTCGAAACTTTTATCTACGTAGTACGGTACGCCCATGTGCTGCGTTTCCCTGGATACCACCAGCCCCATGGCCCTGCAAACAAAACGCACAATTCAAATGTATTCAGCGGCACCCAAGCATTTGTTAATGTGTCACTGTTGTAAGGCTGATGGTTGAACAGACTCACGGCTTATAGAAGAGACTGTAGGGCGGGTTAGTGGCCATCATCTGTGTAAACACTGATATGAGGATTAGCACCAACACGGGAAGAAGCTGCAGAAGCGCTGTGAAGGTGTTCTGTGGGAAGATAAAATCAGCACAGATTGCAAAGCATGTAATACTCTCTGTAGGCTGCACTAATTACACTGTACTCATGCCAGCGCCGTAGTCAAGTAAATGGGGGCTGCAAACGTGTTAAAAACGTATCTCCAAACTTTACCGGAGTTCTTTAGCGCGTGTTAATGATTAGGGCGATGCAGTATTTCGACAAGAAGATGGCAACATAATGCTGTAGTTGTATCGGGGATTTGTGCTAATGTTTTATGAGTCACTGACCTGACTCTGGTTGTCCTCCACCACCACCTCCTCGCGCCTTTCATAAGCGCGTCGACGACGAGGCTGATAGAACTGAGAGTAGGAGGCTCCCTGGTTGGTGTACACATGGATATTTCCTGTAAAGAAACGCAGAGTTTTACTGCATCTACACTTAAGTAAGACGGTAGAAAATAGTCCTAAATTATAGTTAATAGCAACGATGACAAACAATACTGAGAGCACTAATGATACAAACCACTACTACGGATAGACTGCATTATCTTAAAGCATTTAAGATGTAATTAAAAACAAGTAAAAATTCATTACTCGTGGTTTTCACTTGTTTTTATGTAAGTTATTTATTGAGAAAACATGTCAGCTGTGATGGAAATTTTCAATCTTCCTCCAAATTACCGACCAAAGACCATTTTAAATAGTGAAACTGCAGTAACCCTTTCGTTTAACGTACCTGTGGGAAACCTTCCCCCAAAGAAAATGTTGAAGAGTTCCTCGGGGGAAATGTCAGCCTCAAAGTCTCTGTGGAAGCTTCGGTAGTGTGCATGGCGGCTGTGGGTGGAGTGCTGGGGTGCATTCGAAGTTGTAGACTGATCTCCATACTGATCATACTGCTGCCTCTTGTCTGGATTGCTCAGCACTGCATATGCGTTGCCTATTGCTGTTGGTAGAGAAGAGAGACATTTTTTGTAGTAAAATATGCTGGGAGTCATTTCTTAAAGAAAACTCTGAGATTCGTTTCTGTGAGACAGCTTTTCATCATTTCTGTGTTAAGGATTGTTTGTGCAGACCAGAACTCATGGCTTGGTAACACACTGGAGCCGCCATACTTTACACGAACCCTCCCACCACCGCTATAGTGTCATAAAAACTAGGGCAGATTAACAACAGTGTTTCTTGCTTGCTGGCAAGCTCTGCATCTTCCCTGGATGCCAGAATTAGCAGAACGGTCTCCTTTTTTAAATTTCCTAACGCTGATGAGACGAAGAAGGGGTAGACTGATATTGTGAGGAGCTACAGTGATGGAGAGCTGAAGACCTCCATCAACACTTGACATCTGCAGTGACCAGGTAGTTGTTTCATCTAATACACCTGAGATTCACAGATAATCTACTACTTGTAAATGGGGATGAACTGATTATTTCCATTCCTGGTCTTCATCCTCCTGCCCTGCAGACATCTGGTGCCATCGTTGGTGATACATGTCTATCAATGAGTGTACGTTGCCTTGTGTGTTTGCTTTATTACAGTATGTAACTTAGTCCACAGCTACCGAGTGACGAAGGATTCTGTAAGGGCAAGTTTGTGATTTCAGATCGAAACTAAGGTCTGATTGCTTGGTTAGTACGGTTTATTTTGGTTGCAGTCAATCAGCGTCTTCAGCAAACATGGCCTCAGTATTTCAGAGTCGAGAAGATTTCTTATTGTTTCATGATTTTGAAAGCTAATTTTAGACAATTTATCCAATCATTCAAATTCAGCCACTTCAACAGAATGCACTTAATTTCTTGAAAAATCAGGAGTGTGGCACTGTGATCCCAATTCTGTTAAACTTGCTCCGTGTCATGTTGTTATATTTGTGTGATCAGATGTGACTGAGTTCTGACTCTGAGCAGGAGTGCAGCAGTGTGTGACAGCCGTTACTGCTGCCTGTGTCTGTGATGGTTAACAGGCCAAACCAGACAGCCAAACACAGTCGCTAACTTTCCATTGTTTTCACAGCACCTGGCCTTTACACTTTATGCAACATCTTCGCTTAATCTTTAATTTGCACCTCTCCTCCAGCTCTCCTGCAGCTCAGGGGGAAGGTGCACGGAAGCCCAACACAGAACTTCTGAACTTGATTTAAACTGCTAAACCTGGCTTACCAAGCTTAAACCCTGATGATGTCTGTTTACCAGCAACATCCTTGGTGTGATCAGTAGAGTTTTGTCAACATGCAGCAGTCGTGCACAGCAGTGTTTATGATAGATACTATGAAAATGAAATATGAAATAATTCTGCCATTTCTTTCTCACAGAAAATGGTGTTATTTTTCTGCCTCCTCTCTAAAACTCATACCTTTGAAAGCATCTGTGGCTCCTGGAGCGAAGTTCTTGTCAGGGTGAAACTTCAGGGCCAACTTCCTGTACGCCTTCTTCAAATCTTCATCGCTGGCATTTTTGTTAACACCAAGGATTTCATAGAAGTCCTTGCAATTCTTTATCCTGCAATAAAAAAAGGATAATGGATGTCCAAACCGGGACTTCAAGGCTGACAGATGCACTCTCTCTCCCTTTCATATGAGTGTGCATACCCTTTATACAATATTTAGTGAGAAGTACATTAACAGAGAGCTGCTTCATGAAGTCACTGTTATATCTGCTGTAGACTGAAAGACGTAAGTACATTTCCTTTCTAGTTCATGTTATGAAAACATTGTGGTGATTAGTATTTACAACTACTATAACTGTGTTCCCCTTCATTAACACTTTTAAGTCAAAGAAGGCAGCAAACGTATTGATCTGTTTTTGCTGGTGGAGCGCTGTATGTGCAGGCAGGACACCTTAAATGAATAGAAATATTGTGGACTGCTTCATGATCAGCATCAGAGATACTCATTGATGGGTCACCTTAGGAAACAGCTTTGATTTAGATCAGCATAAAAAAAACAAACTGCCCCGTCTGTTTTCGAAAAACAAAAATGCAAAAGAATCACCTGAGAACACCCTGGCGCTGATCCTCGGTGTAGCTCTTCTTCTCATCGCCGCTTGCGTTGCTTGTTTCGTTGCGACCTATGTCCTCGTCTCTCCATCCCGATGGCGGGGGAACGTGGTTTGTCTCTGGAGCAGCACTCCCTCCATTCCTTAGTATGGCATCTATCAGCACTGCAAACAACAACAACACTGTCTGTGGTCAACTGGGAATCCAAAAATGTAAAAAGTTTAATCAAGAACAGCATCAATCGAGCTCAACATGAAATTTATAGTTGATTGTCGTTTTTTATGGTAGGTCTTGAATACACAGATGGTGGACTATCTCTGAGACTCATTTGGAGGGATGAATATCTTTCTGTCTGGTTAAGAATGCTGTCAAATACATGACCCCAAAATCTCCCACAGTGTTGATCTGGTGAAGCTGAAGGCCACGACACTAGATTCAGATCACAGTCATACTCTTTCAGAAGTTCCCTGTGCACAACAACATCATCCATCTGTACATCAGCAGGCTGATTTCCAAGTTGTTTATCAATCTTTGCACAATATAAAACAGTACAACAAGCTGTAAAACAGACCTTATGGGCATGCAAGTGGCGCTAAAAGTCATCTATGGCAGCTTAATGATCCTGGTTAGGATGCCATTATTGCAAAAGCAATCAGGGCGAGTAAAGCACCTGAAAACACGCTCATATTTTCACACAGCGCTGCCCCACAGTCTGTGGTTCCCTCCATGAATTGCAAGGGGGAAGGGTGTCCTGAACAGCCCGAAATTTCACTCTGCAGCAGTAACAGACATTTAAAAAAGGCTACGTTGCTTTTGTTTTGTATCCCCATCTGAAAACACACACTCTGTGCATCCATTTTGAAATCTGAAAATAGATCTCCTGCAGTGAACAAGCAGGGATAAGTTAACTAGTAGACCAAGGTTTAGCTAGTCGGACTGCCATTGCAGAATGTGCGTCAGCTAATTTTACCTCTGGCCCGGGTGCTGGGGTAAATGTTCTGCGCCTCATATAGCAGCTGCAACGCCCGATCTTTCCGTCCGGACCGTAAACACAGCTTCGCCTTCTCTATCAGCCGGTCTGCTTCTTCTTTGTCCATTTCAGCGGGTTTATTCGGGGGGTCCGGTGGCCGTGTGTGTGGAGGTCTTACCCTGGACACTGTGCGTCCGTATCATGTGTTGAGGCTTCAGCTAACGGTAGGTAGCCGGTTAGCTTCGGTTACAGACAGCTGCGTAACGTTAGCTCGGCGCTGCCCGCAGTCACTCAAAGTCCGTCGCGCTATCCGATTAGCGGACGACGGAGGATGTTGTCAGGCTGCAAACGGGCCCGCAGTTGGGCCATTATTTTAAACGGAGAGGCTTAAAATGGATTCTCGGAGCCGTCTGCTCGGTTAGCGGCGTTTAAAGGGGCCACCGTGTTGATTTTTTAAAAACGTCCTGCTGTCCTGCGATGGACGAGAGGTGGAGGCAGCGCCGCGGTGATGTCAGATCCGGTGCAGCGAGCTGTCAAATGTGTGGAAAACCGTCCTGTTGTTGAGGTAAAATCACATTTATTCGGCTGTCTGTTGGTAAGTAAGTTGAACATTTAGTTTTTTTCATGACCCTTTCCTTTTTCTTTATTTTCTTGTGTTACTAAATGGTATTTAGAAAACCCAGACGGCTGAGTAACATCAGCAGGTGGTAGGCCTGCTGTGGTGCTGATGCTGCATTCAAAGACTTTCATTACAGGCGTACCTTCGTCAAGTGGTGGTGATGCATTCAAGTGTCTATAGGGGAGAGTGGTGGCCTACAATTTGGTTGATTTTTTTTTTTTTTTTAAATATATATATATATTACGATAGCCTTAGCATATTTTATGAACCCATGCACAATTCTACCTTAATACTATCAACATTTTTGAGCCTTCTTCCAATTAAATCAAATCAAACTTTATTTATATAGCACGTCTCATACAAAAGAGCAACACAAAGTGCTTTACAGCATTTAAAAGCATTGCAAAAACAAACAAACACACAAACAAACAAAAAACAGTCCCTCCCACCCCCATGTATACCTATACACACACAACTACCTATACACACACACACACACACACACACACACTCTCACCACTCACCGTTTTAACTTCATAAGTGCAGAAATTGGCACATTACATTTTGTAGGGCTCAAAAACACATTTAAGCTCTGTTCAAAATCAATTTCAGGTCATTCCAGGTGTCACAATCTAAAAGTGAAAATCTCATGTTTGTACAGTAACAACTTTGTCTGTTTGTCTATAAACACCTTTGAGCATGAATATCATGAGGTATGTCATAGTTCCGATAGCAAATCTGTGATGTAGAATAATAGAAACAAGTATGATTACCCTAGCTGTTGTCTGGTTTCTTATAATTCATTGGTGAAAACTTTAAGAAGCGCCTTCTGGGTAAACTTTCAAGGGTCATGATGGCTGATCAAAAATCTGTTTTCGTGATTTTAGCCATTAAGTGGCACATTTCGGCCTTTGACTGCAGTGGCAGAAAAGAAGAAGAAAAAACTAATTTATTTTGAAATGTACCCTGTCAAACACTATTTAGACATTTAGTGGAATTAACAAATCTTTTCTTGTTAATCTAATAGAAATACATAGTTCTGGTAATTCCAAGTTAATTCAACCTAAGATATCCTGTTTTTATTTTCAGGTAAATTTTGAACTTGCAAACATTGGTTGTCTAATTTGAAGTCCATCCATCCATTATCTATACACCGCTTAATCCTCACTAGGGTCGTGGGGGGCTGGAGCCTATCCCAGCTGACTCAGGGTGAAGGCAGGGGACACCCTGGACAGGTCACCAGTCTATCACAGGGCTACACTTAGAGACAGACAACCAAGCACACTCACATTCACACCTATGGATGATTTAGAATCACCAATTAACCTCAACATGTTTTTGGACTGTGGGAGGAAGCCGGAGAACCTGGAGAGAACCCACACTGCACGGGGAGAACATGCAAACTCCACGCAGAAAGATCCCAGGTGTCCTCTCTGGGATGCAAACCGGCGACCTTCTTGCTGCGAGGCAACGGTGTTAACCACAGAGCCACCTTGCAGCATAGACTACACAGTTGATTCTATTTATTATCTTAAATTGACTGAGATTAGTCAGTTAACTTGGCTGATACATTTCAAAACTGATATTAAAATCATTATCCCAACCCAAGTTAGTTAACTCGTGTTTTAAGGCAGTGACAGAACTTGTGTTTCTAAGTTAAACAAACTAAAATGATGTGGTCTAATCTACAAAACTGTAAAGGCCTTTTTTAAAATTATTATTATGGACTACTTTCATATTGTAACATACTGATAAACTGTGTTCATCTCTCTAACAGCTGACGTGATGAAGGACACTTTGGCAGAACATTGGGCTTAGTTAGATGTAATATTGTGTGATTATCCCGATATAGATATATAGCGTAAGTGTAGTTTACAGTTAATTTAGTTTAAGACTGAAATACTTTAAGGAATATGACACATTGATCCTCAACTTGACAAAACTAGGCAACAATGAAAAACAATACATTCTATTAGTAGAAAATGTCGTTGATGTAGCTTCACAGTATGTAACAGAGGGACACATAGTGAAAACATCACTGAATATGTCAATAATCTTGACATTGTCTATTATAGATAAGACACACACACACACATGCAAAAGTCAGTTTACTGTTGTTTTCTTGTTTTTTGCATTTAACTTTCATTCAATTCTACTTAATAAATAATAATTTTCATCTTTTAAAATGCTCCTACCTCTTCTGTACAACCTTCAATGCCTTTGTAATGTTGCTAACTATATATTCATGTCCACACAGGATATTGAATTAAACTGAAACTGCAGTAAATGCTCTTTACTCACTATATAATACGTACGAGGCATTTATTTTACTTTTCTAATGGTTGTATCTGGATGCACGTAGGAGTTAAAATGGGCCTTAATGCCTCCGCCAGTGAATTAAAAACTATACCACACGTTTTGTTCATGCATATTTTATTCAAGAGTAAAAAAATGTGATTTGTCCCATAGGGCATGCTTACAATGTTGTGTATTATTTAGGAAGTCAAATGCCAAAACATATTTCCATAGATAATAAAAAAATGTTGCAAGATAAAATCCATTATATTTGTTTGTTGAAATATGCATGTAGACCATACAAGAACCAGAAACGGAGGAAGGAAAGTAACCATAAGCTAAATTGTAACAATAATAATATCAGCAGTAAATATAACCAGAGTACAATGTTTCCTGTTAAATGTAAGTGTAACACATGATTTTCTTTGTGTCCAGTTCATTTACATCTGAAAACCATGCTATCATGCTTTGGCAGCCTGAAAGTTGCTTTTCACTGAGATTATATTCATTCACACTATTGAACATTTTCTGTACATTAGTACAACAGAAAAAAAATGTAAATAAATAACACAAGGCTTCACACCTTAGAAGGGCATCTCTGCATACAAGAAATCAATATAAAATTAAAAGCAGTGGTAGTAAATAACAGAATGAAAAAAAGGAAAAGAAAAAATGGACCGAAACAATCAAAGGAAGCCTATTTATAAAAATTTTTATAAAACAAGACAAATAAAACTACAAATATAATTCAAAAATAAATGAATTCAAGTTTACTATTTGAAACACAACTATCACAATTATAATCTCACATAACAATTAGGAACTTAATTGCATGCATTGATGCGTTCCATACCATAGATGCTGTGTTAAAAATCACTTTCTGTCCATCCTTCATTCACATACCTTTGTCATTAAATAGAAAGATGGAATTTAAAGTAGAAAAAATATTGATGCATGAAAGGAAATTCTAGAAATTTATAGTATGTGTCATTTTTGGTTGGGGCTTCACTGGTATCGATTATTTTATTTTGAAAAGACCAGAATGTTTCATGTTTAATTTTTACTTTTCTCTTCTTGTATCTGTCAAAAAAAGACTCTTTGAATCCAACCTGGCAGTATATTATACGATTGAACTGTACAGTGTGATATAATAAATATTTTTGCCACAACGCTTGTACATTGATTTTATTAGGATCACAGTGTACGGGCACTTGTCAGTGAAGTTTTTCTCTGCCTGTGTCTCCACTGTAATCCACAATAATTAGATTCCAAAAAATCAATTCACAAATGAGAAATATAGATTAACAAATTTAAAAAAAAATATGATTAGTGGTTTTATAAGCCAAATACTTGGGCTACACTGTGCTCAGTTTTCATGAAGCAAGCACTTCTGGCAAGTTAATCGATGCAAGATAAATGTCAGTGAAAATGAAAACACTTGTTCTTAGAAGCATTAATTAACTAAATTCTGGTTGGGATTCGTTCATCAAATTGGGTAAATAAAAAATTTAAAAATCAGAGTGGATCGAACCCTTGGTCAGTTGAACAAAAGATATCGTAACTTTTGGATTTCACAAATTTGTAGAATTTCCTTCTTACTCTGATATAGTACTTTGTTTAGCTCTTAGGATGAATTCGCAGCACAGCAAAAAGTGCAGAGGGCGCTAATCGAGTGACTGCACAAGTTGTTTGACTTTCTCCGTAGCAACAAGCAGGTGAGAAAGAAGCAGGTCGTGGTCCTGATAGCAGGGTATGTCCCAAACAATTCAAAATCTTCAGTTTTTTCCTTTGTGGTCCAGACACTGATCACAACAGTTGCAAGAAGAGATGAGAAAACCATGATCCAGAGCCTCCATCAGCAGAGGACGCTCAAGTGTACACGATCCAGAAAGTGAATTGATTTTTAATTTTTATTTTTTTTTCTCTCGTGAGGTAAAGCTTGTTCAAATGCCATGCTTCTGTGACGTGAAATGCTTTAACAGTTAGTGTAGAGGAAGTAAATAACCTTGCGGATGCTCTGGATAGAAATATAACCCTTTGAGATTCACCTACTAATGCGTCGTCATGTGGGGGTAGTTAATCGGCGATGCTGAGGTATCTACAGCAAGCAGCGGAACCAAATTTTTTTCCAAACGCTCTTTTCGTCACCTTCCCTTCTTCCCTCATCCCCTCCAAGGTTTGTCTTGCTGGGAGATGACTGATAATGAGGAAGATGAGGAAAGGAGCTGCTGGAGGTTACTGAGACATACCCAAGGCGGAGTTTGATCTCAGACAGCGGTGGCTTTGGTGGTTTAGGCCATTTGTTGTGAGCACAAATGGAGCACCCTGTCCTCTCTCTCTCTCCGTTGCAGGATGACAGCATCTTACGACAAGGTAAATCAATAAATTTAAGTCCACCGGTAAGATTGCACTGCATGTTTTTAAGAGTTTTTTTTTTTTTTACTTCCTTCCTTTATCCTTTCTTTCTCACAAAGTGGTGTGATTTAATACTAGCAAAAACATGTAGGTAAACAAGATTATTTTCCTCATGAAGTGAGCTTGTGAGTGATTCATAATAAACACTTTATAAAACAGTAAAATGATTCGTGTGACATGGATACTGCAGTTATGTCTTCTGCCAGGCCCTGTAATGAAGGAGCAGACACGTGTCAGCACTCGAAACAACACAACCCCCAGCAATTCAGTCTGTAGTTGAATTGAGAAAGGGAACAACAGGCAGACACAACTTTCAACCACATGATTTTGTTGTTTTTTTTTTTTTCCCAGTCAAACTGCAGCCTGCCGGCCTCTCCTCATCCCTGCCCTTTGCTGTTAACCCCCAGCTCCACCCTCCCCCACCTGTGCAATGACACACCGTCACAAAATAAATGACCTTTTCGCCCGTTTTAGATTTGCTGCAGATTTCATGATCTATCTGTGGGCCTGTTTTATTTCTATGTTCTGAGGCCTGAATTCCCGATTTAGCAAAGTCTTGCTGCACAGCGCAACAGCGGCACGGTTTTTTCTGAGGCTCAGACAGCACATCACTGGACGTTGCTGTTGTCTTCTGTGCCGTTTGCCTCCGACATATTCATCTTTCCCATGGAGTGACCCACGTGGTTCACCCCATCCTTGCGAGGTGGCATGCGCTCGTTGATGCGGTCCAGGCCCTTAGCCTCCTCGAAGCTGGTGATCTTGTGCTGGGGGGAGAAACCGCGGATGGCTGAGAAGAAAAAAAAAACACATATAATGAGGTCAGGACCCCCATGTAATGGCACAATATTAGATTATTCCTCACATCACCTCATGTTGGGTATGATCAAATGATGCTGCTATTTCTAAGGCATTCTAAAGAAAGAACATCAGTCTGAGTTAGGAACAACTGGGATTTTTTTTTTTTTTTTTAATTGCGCATACAAGCTGTTCACTCTGCAACTAAAATTAGTGACACAGCAAAGTAGAAGCTGCTAAAGTCCATCACGAGCTTTCTAGAGCAAAAAAGTGAGTTTCTAGGAGGCATCATTAACATGTCCTCCATGTGTTTAAACTGCTTACTTTCCAATAGATGGTGCTGTTTGACACGTCTTTTTGTCAATAAAACTGCCCTTCCCTCTAATGACATTCCATGTCACACCCCAGCATCCGGTCTCAACAGAAAACACATCAGTTAAAAGTAAAAAGATGTTTATGTCTAAATAATTCAAACATGTACAGTAGCAAAAATGCAACAAGACTCAGTGAACTTACCCGTATTGTGAAAAAAACAAAAAACAAACACAGTTCAGTTCAGTGTCTACCTGCTGTCGTCCTCTGCTACTTATTTCAGATCAGATACACATGTGAGTGAAAATGAGATGTGTTAGTGCTGATTAACTGCTGTCTCATACTGCAGCGACTCGGTTAGTGAGTAAAGATTACCTCAGGAATCTCAGGCTTCAGGATGCATATTTCATGTTGATGCTCTGGTCTGTTTCTTGTTCATATGCATGCAACACTTTTTAGAACCAGATGGAGGCCATTTACAAGCCAAACCCAAAACAATGTGCTTTAGTCATGCATCTCATAGCAGCACTTGACTTTGCAGTGTTTTAATTTATCATGAACATTCCTTGATACCTTAAAAAGCTATTTATTTTTTATGTAGCATTTTCCCCCCAACTTCCCATTTTCCCTCCCAGTTTCTAATTTTCAAACACAAATGGATGCTGCAGTCATCGTGGACGCTGTAGAAGTAGATTAATACACGAGAAGGAACTTCTTGTTTTCATCTGTCCGCAAGGAACAGGAGTGCATTAACGTTATCTTCTCAGAGCATGTGCCTCGACTCAACATTTACAAGATCAGGATCCCTCACCAGCTTCCCATAGCGCACATACTGCAAGAGGGCTGCACTACGAAGCAAGTTTGACATAGCCAGGCTTTCTTTCTGTAAGCTGGCTTGACAAAAACGAAAGCCCCAGCCAGAGATTACACATATCATGAAGGTGGTTTTCAACTTTCTTTGACAACTCAGACTTTCTGCTTCAGACCACATAAAAAGGGGTGTGTAACGCATCATGTGACTCTTCTTCTGCACTCAATGAATTGTCTGCAGCTGCTTCAGTCAACACGTTGTTTTAATGAAGAACAATGAGGAACATAAAAATATTAAGACAGTAAAAAGCTACTGCAAATAGTGCAAGACAGAAATGCTGGTAGAAAACTGTTAAATGTGTGTAATTTATAATATTGTACAGGTGCAGCAGCCTGTTTTCAACTGCACGTTAAAGTTAAGCTTCATATATTTAAACATGATCTTGTATTGAAGTGTATTTAGGTCCCACACTGTCCCATAATGCAGGATATCACTTTAATTTTTGGCCAAATCAAAGCAAAACTAATGTTATTGAATATTCTCTGTAATAAATACCAGTAGAATAATCCATTTTCTAATCTGTGTTCTATCAGCTACAGTACCAGCATGCAAACGTACTTGACAGCAAATCAGAGCCAAACATAAAAACATTTTTATGTGATTTCTGCATCGCCAACTAAATACCTGTCTGGTTCCCATGGCAATGCGATATTTACAATGTGCAATAGCGTAACTAGTGATATTAGTGGTGATATTAGTAACACACAACTGAGCATGTTTGCAAATAAAACATATTCCCTCAGCTGAGAATCTGTATCGCTCATAAATAATAGTCAGGAAACAATCTGGTTAAAGGGAGACGCTCTTTCCAGCCGATTTAAATCTGAAACTCTGAACATAACCTGCTCCCGACCAGGTTAGCTCCACAGCATCAGTTACCATGGAGATTTAGCCCGGTAAAAAGAGAACCACCTTCATGAGACTGAAAACTCCGACTTTAAGCTCAACATATCTCGATAACCCTCTAATCTGGCTTCGTAGTACAGCCCTCAGCTGTGGGATGTTTCTTCTATTTGCCACTTAGGCACCCACTTAAAAACACTTCCTGGAAGATAATACTGTGTATAGGGTAGCCTTCATTACAAATAACAACTTATTTTATTTTAACTAATGATCTTTTATAAATCAATCTCTCGAAAATCCAATCATCTAGTTGGATTTGTGTTTTACTCTACTGCAAAGTAAAGTGCCAGCCCTACCAGCGTCAAGGCTTACAAGAGTAGGGTCCACGTTACTGTGTGAGCTGTCGTGTGAATGAACTTGTCAGTGACAGGTGGCCTCCATAGCAGGAGAACCCTGATAGTACTGAGAGGGGTGGGAGAAGGAGCACCGGTTTACCTTCTCTGTCCTCATCATGCGTCTCGATGGCTTCAATGGCTTCAATGGTGGCTGAGGGGGGAGGAGGGGATCAGGTTACTCCTGATAAAGCCATGCAAATGTAAAACGCAGCCCCAGCGAGAAAAGGCGGCTCGTGTTAGGCCCGATGAGATCTACATGTTACAGCCAAACTCAGAGGAGCGGCATGCGTTAATACTGAGAGACTCAGTGTCAAACTGGGGTTAGAAAATTCATATGAAAAATAACAGAGATAGAGTGAAAGAGACGGTGAGTAACAGCGATATTGAGATGGAAAGAGTAGAAGGCACATTTTAGGTAATAGGACAGAAATTACTTGCACTGACGTCACACTGACTATGCGCCGTAATTAATTCTGAAAAATTAAAATAGCTTTATTCATCACTATGTTGCAATTTTGGAAACTCTTGGCTTAAAAAATCAAACATGTTCTCACTGAGAAAATGGGATTCTAGTTGGATTCCCATGTTTTTTTGTTTCTGTATGTGCAAATATCCGATCTTTTGCTAATAGAGTTGCAGAAAACCTTGTAAGTGGATATGTTGACATGCCACATTAAAATTAAAAAACTGTAAAGCAGCTTAAAGTTTAGGTTTGAACTTATTGTGATATCAGTCGGGACACAGATCTCAAAGGGATCCATGATAAAACTGTGGAAACAAGTTTTTCTAAACACTGTGATGCAGGTGTTATACTATATTGTGTGACATAATTTGTTATTGTAGATGAGGAAGATCTTGGATTTTGTCTGTACCATCACGTTCTCCTCCATATCCTCAATGTGATAAGAGCATCACTAAGAGGCTAAAAACAATGCTAGTCAGCTCCTCTTTATTTAAAGCAGAGAAGAGAAAACGAACGGCTGAAGGAGAGATAAGAGCAATGGTAGGACTGAGAATGGTGATGAGGAGGAGAAACAGAAAACGGGGAGTAAATGACAGCGAAAAGGCTTCGGCTGAGCCTTGTACTCACCGCTCTGCAGTGTCTGTCTGCCTCCAGAGAGAACCCCGCTTGGCAGCATGCCAGTGGGCGTCAGACCCTTAAGCGTCAACACATTTTCACTCTCCTCTCTGCAGGAAAAGACAGAGAGAGGCAAACAGGTCAGAAAATTTTGCTGAACCTTGATCAGACTGGAGAAATAAAACACTTAATGCCCCCACTCTGACAACAGCAGACTCAGTGTGGGCACACACAAACGCTCGACACACAGACGCACAGATGCATACAGTTTCTGAATTTGAATACATAAATATATTATCATACCTACATTTTCATACACACACACACAAACGAAAAGTTTACCTGAGAACTGAGAACATTTTGGCCATTTTCCCAATAGCACGGATCTTGTTTTTGATCACCTCCTTGCGGGCTGCAGCTGCATTGGCTGTAAAGAAATCCAAATACTGTCATTCTAGACTTCTCAGACATCGAAAACGCTGTCATAAGCTAGGATAATACATGAGAAACTGTTAAGTAGGGTTCTAGAGCACAGAAAATACTATAAATATATGGTATACTATACTGTGTATGTGCATAGGATACTGTGATAGGTACCACATAGTCTAGGTTGTTGCATTGCTTTACATACTGACACTGTATACCAGCAGATGTTGTCATCGAGGCCTATATGTAGTGAATCAGACACCATGTTTAATGGCCTTCCTGATGCAATAAATGTCATCTTATGTTCTGTTTCCCTAAGCACTAAAAACTATAAGCTACTGTTCTAGTTTAACTGAATTACCATGTCAACATCAAGTGGCAATATGCTGCATGCAATGTACGAATCTCAGCTGATATTTAAATCATAAAAGCATATGGAAATGGGATTGATTTAACGCCTTTATTTCTATTATGCCTGTCGGTGCTAGAACGAAGCCAAACTATCAAACAAATTTGGCTCGAAAACAAAGAAAAGCCAAAATCCATATTGTGAATCCCACAGATGTGGGAGGAGTGTGCCGTCACCACTTCACCAGCCAACGAACTAGCAGGTCTTCTTATAGAGTCTATGTAGGCTGCTTTCTACACAGCATGTAAATCACCCTGATGAAGACAAGAGTTGTTTTCTCACAACAGTTCAGATATCAACAGCAGCGTGTGCAGCTTTCTTTGTTTCAGTGTATGAAGTGTGAACTGAACCCACAACGCACCAGTGAAAAGTACAAACAATACACTTCTCACCGTCAAAGATCTCATCTTCATCATTCATGAGCTCATCATCGGAGCAGATGCTCAGCACGTTCACCAGCATTTCTGTGACTGGAGAGGAAACAGTGTGAAAGAGAGGTGGAAAAAGTTACACAGAGATGACACATTAGGATACGTTGTCATATTTAAAGCACCTGACAGATAATAAAACACTTTGTCGTGAGAATTTAAAAAAAGGATACCTTTCTCTCCAACAAATGGCAGAGACCAGGTGAAGACATCCATGAAGTTGGGCAGCCAGTAGGGATGGGGTGAGCAGTTGAACTGTCGGATGTTCATGACATTATTTTCATATTTCAGTACAGCAGCTGTTGGGGAAAAGGAGAGGGGAAAAAAAAGAAGAGTAAAACCTTCCTCTTAAATAAAGACGTATTGCAGTTATCAAGTATAATCATATTATATAGAGGAGAGCTGATTGTTTAAATTGCTCAGCCCATTAAAGGATCATGAATTATACATTGAGGTTAGAGATGAATAAAACCTTTCTGTAACATAAAGAGAATACTGATAAGTACATGTGGTAATGCATTGCATATAGGCATAATAACTGTATACATCATTACAATTCATATTATACAGAGACACAAAGATTCACATACAAATCCTCAGTCTAAGAATACCACTGGCACTTTTGAGAAAAATGATTAAATGGAAACAGACTTTAGAAGCACTTAAACAATCAGAATATTTACAGGTCAAGCAAATAACATCTGTGGTTCTTTTGATTTGGAGCATCCCCCTCCCCCTTTCTAAAATCTGACTTAAATAAGCCTCTACTGCAGACACATTTGGAAATAACCTCAGCGGGTACATTTTTAATTTATAGCCAGCTCCAAAGTTGTAATCCCTCTGTAAGAAGTGTTTAATAGAATTTGATATTTGTTATTCCCTTAAGTAAAAGTGATATCATGCTACAAAAACCCATATTTATACTGCTTTCTAGTTTAGAATCTTTACATGGTGTGCTGTCACAGCCACATGCACCATGTTTCATGCGCTGTCTGTAAATGTATTCATATTCACTGATGTTACTCGGCTTAATGTTTTTTTTCAACAGTAAGAGAAAAAGGGAAAAAAAACAAACAAACAAACAAAAAAAAACAGATATTCAACCACTAGATGGCCCAGCTGAGGCCAGGGATTGCTGACACTGTTACATCAAGAGGGATAAAGCCACATGGAGATAGTCAGCAGCGCCGACAGTCCCTCCCACGCTCCCCATCTCCCATAGCCTATGGCAACCAAGACACAGATCTGAGAACACAAACAAACGGGGGCTCCCTGATGCATTCTTATGCCTGCTCACAGCTAAATGCAGTTACATTAACCCGTGCACTCCAGTCTGCGCTGTTAAAACCATTTTAATAGATAAGTCAGAGGAGCCCATGGCAGTCATTTTATCACATGTAGGGCCACTTTTTAAGGGTTCTGAAATGCAACATGGCCCTTTAGTGAGGACAGTGTGCAGCTCCATTGTGTGTGTGTTCATCGACTGGTTGTATACAAGTCTGTTTTTTTTGTAAAATCCGGCCTAGATGCGGTTAAAAGGCCAAGGGTGCAGGTGTTGGAACAGAAGCGCCTCTCGTTCATAGCACCATGCTTTACCGTTGACTGTTATAACTTTGATTTAACAGTAAATTATTTGCTCAGGGTATGCCAGTCTGTCTTACAGAGCGATATAAATGATATGATGTATGGGAATAATACATTTTAATGCAGGAGTATATTCATTTTACATTAGTCTCAGATACAGTCGTTCTCAAATGTATTCATACCCTTACATTAAAAAAAAGGCAAAATTCGCAATAGTCACTCAAATAACTATAAAAAACTAATCCATTCATCCATCCTCTATACACCGCTTCATCCTCACCAGGGTCGTGGGGGGGCTGGAGTCTATCCCAGGGTGAAGGCAGGGGACACCCTGGACAGGTCACCAGTCCATCACAGGGCTACACTTAGAGACAGACAACCAAGCACACTCACATTCACACCTACGGACAATTTAGAATCACCAATTAACCTCAACATGTTTTTGGACTGTGTGGGAGGAAGCTGGAGAACCCGGAGAGAACCCACGCTGCATGGGGAGAACATGCAAACTCCATGCAGAAAGATCCAGGGTGTCCTCACCGGGATGCGAACTGGCAACCTTCTTGCTGCGAGGCAACGGTGCTAACCACGTGTAAGGGGACCAATGGCAAGCTTCTACCCACAGTCAGTGAGTCACACGAACTTCAAACAACCGAGTATCATTCATACCAATTTCTGTGATACAAAAATTAATTGACCAGGACAGATCAGAGATGAAACCGCAAACTAAATCAAAGACAGAAGAGATAAAGAGATTTTTCTGACCTTTGTTGTTGTAAACATCCAGGTAGTTTGGCGCAGAGAAGATGGTAATGAGGGATGGGAATCCAGTGGTCTGACTTTTGCGGTACATCCGGTAGCTTCAAGGCGGTCAGGTGGAGGTGAAGACAGAAGAAAGGCAGAGCTCCTTCTTACATATGTAAATACGTATCTATTTTTGTCTGTGCCTGTAGGTCTGTAGGTGTGTGCTTTTCATGTGTTTTGTAGTGATAACATACCCGGCATCTTGTGCTTCATGCGCCCGGATAATCGATAATAGGTTATTGCTCTGTAGGAACTCGCATACAGCTGGATAACTGCAAAAGAGTAAATAAAAACTGGGTTTAGAGATGTGGCTGCAAACACTTTTCATGGACTGTGGAGTAAAAGAGCAGAGCTAACAACAGAGTTCCATTAAGTACACAATCCTACCATAAGTCAAACAGAATCCCCCCCCAACCCCCGTCACACAACAGAACTTTTCAAACTGCAAGGTACTAATTTCATATACAGTTTCACTCAGTAGAAAATGAAACAACAAAGATTTATCACTCATAAATGCATTTATGAAAGCCTGGCTGAGGGTGATGCAAGGGTATGAAAAACCCATCCAACAGCTACCTGTTGCAGTAAAAAGAAAAAAAAAAAAAGGCTAACCCAGTAAGCGGCAGTCGGAGCTTCCTGCCCTCCAGCTCTAACCTGACAGGAAATATGGCTGAAAATGGATGAACCCTGTGAGCTAGCTCAGACGGAGCGCGCCGCTGCACACATATGGTATGAAATCGGCCCCTTTGTTATATAGAAGTCTATTGAAGCATCGATGCTCCGTCCATATGATACTATGAAAAACATGCTTAAGTTGTCTGATTATGTTGCCTCAGGATCTGTTTGACATCTTAAAGGTGCACTTCAAGACGTGGAGTTTCTTTGTCTGTACTGTTGATACTTTGAACAGCACAGTGACACTTATCAAAGGGTTTACAGCCCATTATGAAGCTGGAGATCTGTGATTCACTACAACAAGTATCTTCCTTTGCTTGGCGATGTGTTGATGTCGACTCGTTTTTTACAAGAGTCTTGCACCTCTACGTCCAGTGCTGGTTGTCTTTTGGTTGTTGATGGCAGAAACCTAAAAATGTTCTCCTGCTGTTTATGCACGTAGCAGTGAAATGAACATAACATGGATGGGACTGAGTGGCTACATTGTTTTGCAACATATTTTAACCTATATTTTTGTGATTGTATGGACTTCTTTTGGCTTTTATCATATTTTTATTTTGAGATCTAATTGTCATATTGGGGGTACCTATATGTTAATTTAAAATAATTAAACAGATTGTTGCATGCAGAATTCAGCAATGTACAGTACATCTCTTCAAATACTGAACTTAAATTTAGGAGTAATAATACTTTACTTGAGTATTTCTATGTCCTCCTTCTTTTTATGCTTATACCAACAGAATATAAGGCAGTGGCGACCATAAGGTTTAAGCTTATCAGTGTTTGCACTCAGTTCTGACTGTTGAACTCTTTTTTTTTTTGTCTAATAACATTCATTTTGTGACCAGTGACATTAGGGGTCACCATCTATAAAAAGCTGCATATGTATATGAACATCATCCGACAAACACCTTCAATCATTGATTTAACTGCAACACAACCTCTCCTATGCTGCTTGTACGATAATAATCTCCCAATAACTGACTGAGGCTATACTTTTGTTATTCCTATACTTGCTGCATACCATGCCTGTCCTCCCTGTGTTTTCGGCTACGATCACAACGACTCCTCCGCTGAAGTATGATGATAGTATTTCCTGTGTTACAGATCAGAGTTGCACAGTCATGAATCAGAAAGGCAGTAGATTAAAGACCACGATTTGCCTCCACAGAAGAAGTGAAAGCTGAAAACATCGGCGCCGTGTCACACAGGACAGACGAATAATGAGAATTGGGACACTTCCAGCTAACTACCATTGCAGGGGAACCATTTAGCACCTCTCACCACAGTTGTTACGTAATGCCTCAAGGTTGTGTTACGCCATTCAGAAATGCATTATCACTTCAAACTGTGTCTCCTCGGTTAGAGAGAGAGAGAAAAAAAAAAAAAAGATTACAATTTGATGAGCTGTTTTAAAATGCAACGATTTATGGCCTCAATTCAGCACCACCTCAATCTGTCACATCCCTACAGGTCACAAATTTTAAAAAGCCCTTTGTGATGCCTTTATTTATTCCAACAGCTGCATTCCAGACCAGACTAAAAAAGGATATCCTTTAATCCATCAGTCACAAGTGCCAACCTGTTTACAAGTTTGCTTGATTGGTACTTAATCTATCATTACTTGATATACTGTGCTTGTAAATTGTAATTTCTTCTGTAATGTCTTTGATAATTATTGATGAAGCCAGATGAACAAGGCGTATGTCCACCGACAGATCGTCCTGTCAAAACAGCTCAGAAAGAAACACGAGTGAAGACAACCGTCACAGCAGAAGTGACATGCAAACCCAGACGTCCCTGACTTTTAGGGCATGAGGCCCAAATTTCAGACGTTCACCTTAAAGAGTTTAACAGATCACATTAATGCATGGCTGAGGCGCTGCTGTCACAAGAAAGTGTTCTCCTTATTTACAACCACATATACTGGGTCAATCATTCATTTTGTCCAGGAAGTCCAAGAAGATCAGCTGATTGCTATGCAATTCAGCAAATGGGGATCCTTTAAATAAGCAAAATAAACTAGACACATTTCAGTTTATTATTGTGAAAAACTTTGCTTTTATAAGTTTCCATGCAGGAATTTGAAGATAGAAAAACTTTTGTATAGTCTTCATGTGTTACTGTTTGCAGTAATCAGTGTTCACTGTATTTTGGACTCTACAAAATTTCAAATAGCGACTAACACTCAGTAACTTATTAGCACACATTTCATTAACATGTAATGCAAACCTACATCACCAGTTATCACCACCATCACCATCAATCACCTTTGATTTAATCACATTAAAAGTACCATTTTTGATATCAAGTAACCTACCAAGTATTTTTTTGTTCGATAAAAATGCCAGACAGCAGTAAAAATTTCCTTCACAGTGTCCCAAAGCTTAAGGTGATGTCTTTAAATTGCAGTCTACAACAGAAAAAGATTCAGTTCACTGCAATAAACTGCAGAAAAGCAGCAACTTTGGGGAGCACAAAAGCATTTCTTTCCCAATTAACAGCTAAAATGATTAGGCACTTAAACATAATTACTCCCCCCCCCCCTCCACCTCTACACAACAACATGGAGTAAAATCCTCCCCAGCAACAATCCTCTCCTCCTGCACTTCCTTACAGTCGCTGCCATCCTCGGACGCATCAAACTTTCAGAAGCGTTTAAAATATTTAAGTGCTCAAAGGTTTATGCCGGAAGAAAAACAAGGAGACTTCTGTGCCCTGAGCACCTGGCGAAAGTGTGCCATCCTCCCCGTTTATCTAGGTCACATGGCTGACATTCCCTCGGTGGCCAATATATAAATTACAGGAATAGCTGCGTTACACACAGACGGGAATATGTTGTAACTCTTTCCACTATGGCTGTCAGTTCACCCTAAAAGAACTGCACCACGCTGGGCTTAAAAAAACGTTATATAACCGTTTCTATTAAAAAACACATCTACAATGCATCCCTACCTTCGAAATAAGGGCAATTTCTGCATCGCTCTTACAAAAGATTAAGTTCCTCATAGCCGCACAGAGTATTTTTCTTCTATTGTTTCTGTGTCATGTAATAATATCCCAGCATCTAATATACAAATTTATTTTTTTTCGTCCGCTCCAACGCTATCTATTGATTATCTGCGAGAGAGCGCGCACAATGCTTTGCCTGCGGCTCACATTCCCTTTTTCTCCCCTTTGTGAAAACACACAATAATGTGTCGGTGAGCCTGTGAGTGAGAGAGCGCGAGGAATCTGACAAGTGAGGATGAGTGAAAGAGACAGAGAGAGATGGAAGTGCTGTGTTGTGAGTGTGAAACTGAGAGGGTTTTTTTTTTTTTCTTTCACCTTAGGAAATCCATCTGTCAGGCTGGTGGTCATCACATTCATCCCCCTCCCCAAAATTTAAAAAAAAATAATGTATAGGATCATATTAATAATCACAAAGCTCAGGTGGCAAAAGGCCAGATGGAGTGTGACAACATTATGTGAAAAGAATACAGAAAACTATATGTTAAAGCGCTACGAGAGCTCCGCATCACGTTATTGAAGCCGGCAGTCGTGCTGTTCCTCCACATAAATTATACATATGATATGTAAAAGCTGTATGCAAATGCTTTTCACAAGTATTTCTTTATTTTTTTTTATAGGCTTAATTCATAATTTTATCAAAAAAATATGCATCTTAATATGAGGTAGTCATCGTCACAAATGATAATAACAAGAACACATCTGGAATTTACTATATGTAAACATTAGATTTTTAGTTGCATTCTTCCCTCCTCTGACGAACAATCAGTTCTATGGCCACTTGTGAAAAATTCCCAGCATTGATTTCACGGAACACATGTTCAGGGAGGCAAACAACGCTCCCCACTGCTGTGTTTCTGTGTACAGTTAATGTATTGTGACAGCTTCAAGTCCAATAACCGCATTACGTTTGATTTAATAGTTAATGCGCCACCTTTTTCCTCAACCTCCTCTATCCACTTTTATTCCAGATATTGATTTTCTCGCATTTCCCAAAAATCCCCAAGAGAACGGCGTTCTCCGCGCTGCATACATACTGCATGGTTGGCAAGAGTCATAATGATGGAGAGGTAAGTTTGAGAGTGAAGGCAGAACAAAGCCACGGGGAGATAGATGACTATTATAGCAGCATCCTCCACACATCTACAGAATAATCCTCACAGAGCTCCGATCTCGCTGCGAAACAATATCGGTGACCATTTTACAGTAGTGAAAAGGGGAAGTTGAGACACTTTAATGGCTACTGTTGTTTGTTTTGATCAGGTTAAAGCAATGTGTCTTTAACTCGTACTGCGCACTGATGTTTCACTCAGTCGCTGGCTTCAGTTCATCTCAGTTTGGTACTAAAACCAACTCTCAGCTCTGGATAGCTTGCTTAATCAGAGAATTCTATCCCAGTCTACATGCGAATGCGTTTATAGCTGCAAAGATGTTTAAGTAGCCTTGCTAAGAAGAGAAACTTTCAAGTAGAGCAATCATGAAGAGGCATTTATACCAGAAAATAAAGCAAAAAAAAGGAGGAAAAACTGTGCTCTAGAGCAAGTGTTGCATCTTTGCAATCTCAGAAATAGAATCCAGTGTTCAGGAAGCACAAACATATTTAACCCTCCTGTCCTGTTACATTTATACTCACTGTGGCCTCATTTTTCACTGCAATATAAAGTCCTGCACCTCTATGGAAACAGAGCAACCATGACTAGAAGTAGAGAGAACCCAGGAATTCATTGTGCACTATAACAACACCACAACCTGGAATCAGCACGTACAACCTTATTCCATTCAAAAACAAACTCTACAAAGTGTAGATATTTTACTACTGACATTTTTAATTTGTCTCCATACCTGTATCTGAGTACACAGCCTGCAGTTCAGCTGAAAAGTTCATGAATTCTTTTGTCACATGACTCTTGGTTGCAGATGAGCCACTAATGGCTTCTCGGTTACACCAAGGAGTGCAACATTTGTTTGTATTGAACAGAATCTGGTGAGAGTCAGCAATTTATTTTGTCATTTTACTTTTAATTGAGTTATGTAGAATGAAGCCATTGTGATGAATTAGATTTGGTTCATTTTCCTGACATCACACGTAAGTAGTTTGAGAACTGTCATAAAGTTGAATATCTGGTGATTGTTTATGTTTTTAGTGTCTGGCTCTGTTGAATTACAGTATGTCACATCCTCTGTATACGACGCTGAGAACGTGCACTCAACGTCTTTGGTCGACCATGGCGAGGCCTGTTCTGAGTGGAACCTGTCCTGTTGAACCGCTGTATGGTCTCGGCCACCGTGCTGCTGCTCAGTTTCAGGGTGTTGGCCACCTTCTTATAGCCTTGATCATCTTTATGTAGAGCAACAAGTCTTTTTTCAGGTCCTCAGAGAGTTCTTTGCCATGAGGTGCCATGTTACCAGTGACCACTATGAGAGAGTGTGAGAGTGATAACGCCAAATCTAACACACCGGCTCCCCATTCACACCTGAGACCTTGTAACACTAACGGGTCACATGACACCGGGGAGGGAAAATTGCTAATTGGGCCCAATTTGGACATTTTCACTTAGAGGTGTACTCACTTTTGTTTCCAGTGGTTTAGACATTAATGGCTGTGTATTGAGTTATTTCAGGGGACAGTAAATTTACACAAGCTGTACACGGACTACTTTACATTGTAGCAAAGTGTCATTTCTTTAGTGTAGTCCCATGAAAAGATGTAATACAGTATTTGCAGAAATGTGACATACTGTATGGGCATTTTGGGGATTTATTAAAAGACAACATGCCTTTTAAAACCAACCCTGTTGGGGAATTAGAGAGTTAAACAAAAACAATAAATCACGTGCATTAGGAGAAGATCATCACTCCTTTAAACAGCATGCAGAGTGGAAGTAACTGATTAAAATATGCACAACTGTCAGGGTCGTTTTAAACTGGGTCTGCACACAACACTTCGGTGGAACTATTCCATCTGATATCCGTTCAAACAAGCGACACCTTGTACATGTGTTCAGAAATGAGCGCTACAGTTGGGTTATAATGTGACTCTGTACTCTAATTATCTTGCACGCACTGTCCAGAATGTCATTTCCTCTTCAGTGGAGGAATAAGTCTTGCTGCCTTTTTTTTGTGATTTAAGCAGAGCTGCAGCTCCCACGCTTGGGTCTGTACTGTTCTGAACCTTCATTAAGAAAACTCTCACCATAACTGCCACCTAATCTCTTCTCCTCACCACCACCTACTTCCACAGCTCTCTTCCATCTCGCTATTAGGACACTGCTCGCTCCTTCCTTTACATGCTGTCACAGAGGTTGTTAAACAGAGTTGTGTAACAAGCCCATTCCCAATTTGCCTCGCTATTATGTTTTATATTTTATTCCATCCTGTCTTTGCCTATATTTTTATTTGAGCCTGGGTCTATCCATCTAATCTTTTGTCTGTAACAATCTGTTCTGTAAGTCAAAAGTCTTTAGGTTTTAAGGCGACGTTTAGCTATTCATTTACCGAATCATTTACTCTTCTTGTTAAATGTGCCTCTATTTGTTGTTTTCTTCTCCTCGCTCAGTTACCAACAAATGTTTGATATCTATTAATAATTTACAGTCTTAACATCTATTTTTGACATTAAGAGTTCATTTGCACAACATCTGTGTAACAGTCAAACTTCTCCCTGCACTGCAGCGAATCTTCTTAAAAGCCTAAATGATATCTCATCAACACTGACGACTTTGGGAGTTTACTTTAAATTCATGTCATTCCCTTTCTCTCATCTGCTTCGACTGCTTAACTCTCTAAACCCCAAAACCCGCCAGCAGATGTGAAAGGCATGTTATCTTTTTAATAAAATCACCAAAATTACAGCATTTATTTGGACAAAATAACCCTGGTAAAACAGACAGAATTGTTGGATTTTCAACTTTCTGATGATCCTTGAACTACTCATCTGTGCCTTGCTGTTCTGTTTCATCAAAATCCCTTTTTGTACATGTCTTGTTTAAAAATTTGGCAAAAACAAACCATTTGCACTAACCAGAGTGTGAAAAAAAAAAAATCTGTGCTTCTTGGCATAAAACTAGAAGTCATTACTGACTCAACTGAGACTAACAGTCATGTGACAAAAATTCAAGGACTATTTGGCTGAACTGCAGGCTGTGTTTACACAGAGCAGATAGAAGACAAGTACGCAAACAAATAAAACTGTAAGTAGTAAAAAAATGTATCATATGTAGAGTTACTGTTTTTATTCTAGTGTTGGTAACACTGGTGGGCACTTGAAAAAAATGTTGCACATGGTGCTTACAGGCTGCAAGGTGGCTCTGTGGTTAGCACCGTCACCTCACAGCTAAAAGATCCCCGGTTCGCGTCCCGGTGAGGACACCTGGGATCTTTCTGCGTGGAGTTTGCATGTTCTCCCCGTGCAGCCCCCCGTGGGTTCTCCGGCTTCCTCCCACAGTCCAAAAACATGCTGAGGTTAATTGGTGATTCTAAATTGTCCGTAGGTGTGAATGTGAGTGTGCTTGGTTGTCTGTCTCTAAGTGTAGCCC